ACCAGTATTATGTTACACTTCACGGTGAGTCTTCAATTATTATTTATAATTCATACATTTGGTTCCCTTGATAAATTTCGATAAAGAAAGGAAGACGAAATTTGCAGTATAAAATGATATCATTCTATTTCACAGGTTCTCATCAGCTGCAGACTACCTGAAATTACAATGGTTATATAGATGATAATAACATACTTTACTTTAATGTTTTGAGTGGTGGTAGAGAAGAGATACAATAAAATTGACGCATCTAAATGAAAGCATTACAAATTTAAAAGCGTATAAATTGATGATGAAAACTTAAACTAAAAACATTGTAATGCTTTCATTTAGATGCGTCAATTTCATAGTATCTCTTTTCTACCACCACTCGAACATTAAAGTATGTTATTATCAGCTATAAAACCAGTGTAATTTCAGGTAGTCTGCAGCTGATGAGAACCTGTGAAATAGAATTATATTATTTATAAATTTGTAGAACTCTAGATTAATACTCTGTACGTTTAAGTATTACTCAAACCAACATTCACTTGGTGGTTCCAATAGCGAAACATTTGAAGCAACATCTCATGTTGAGTTAAACTTCCTTATATATATATATATATATATATATATATATATATATTACCAGTCAAATTTAATAAGTGCTCTTATAGTTATGATTTAAAAAATGCTTTATTCTTAACTTTTGGGGTTTCTAAAGCCCACTCACATGCTTATTTACTTATTTCTATCAAACACGTGTTATTTCCTTCGTGAATAATAACTCTTCCGTCAGCATAGTATTAAGTGTATATAGGATTCATACATATCTAATAAGTTTAAATATCTTTGAAAGTATATGATTATTTATTTAGAGTTTCCTACATGTTACTGTCAATCAGTCAAGTCGAGGATATAAGGTGAAATCACTTAAGACTAATACTATTTACTACTGCTACTAATACTGGTCTCAATTCAACAAGAAATGAATTCCTTCCTCTTTGTTGTCTTGCCTATCAATCATTTCCTGTATTCTATGTTAATGGTCTGCACAATACACTTTATTAAAACCGTTAGTGCTGTATACGTTCTGTATACTGTCATTAATAAATTAATGTAATGATCTATGACTATTCAAAGTATTTGAAGTACCTAAGTGTTTTATACAAACCGCATTTTCAGTTTTATGTATAGCATGTCTTTTCCTGTTTTTCAACTTACTTGATTTCTGTTTTCTTTTTTTCATCTTTTTTATACCACACATATTATACGCGTGTACACTTGTTTTATTATGATTTTTTTATGATTATATTATTATTATTATTGTATCCTTTAGCTCCTAGAGGAACATAGGGCTTCAGCTGCGCACCTCCATTGCCTTATGTTTTCTGAAAACTTTTTCACCCCGCTCCAGGTCTGTCCACATGCTTTCATCTCCTCCTCGCATGACCTCCTCCAAGTCACCCTTGCACTGACGACCAACTCGCCGCTTCCTTTTCGGGTTCCACTCGAGCAATGGCTTGTCTAGTGATGTCACTTGATGGTTTGTTTCCTGAGAGTATGACCAGCCAATCCATTTCCATTTCTTCCTGCCTATTTGTTTCACAATCGGTTCCTCATGGGTTAGTTCGCTGATTGCCAGACATCCCTGTTGCTGATCTTTTCTGCCCGGCTATCTGATCTTGAGTAGAATTGAGCGAAGACAGCTGTTGATGAAGGTCTGAAGTTTGTTTGAGATGCTCTTTATGACTCGCCAAGTTTCTGATCCGTATAGTGAGTGAGTAGCACTGACTGACTTCACATTGGAGTTGAAAATCCGGATGTTATTTTTGATCCTGAGTGCTGTTGACCTCCACAAAGACTTGAGAGTAATGAAAGCTTGTCTTGCTTTTCCGATTCTGGCTTTGATATCCTCGTCAGTTCCACCTGTAGTTGAAACGATGCTTCCCAGCTGGGTGGGTAGGTGAAGCAGGTTGTTTCTTTCAGGTTGCTCCCATTTTTACTGGTTGATTGTTGTCTGTTGTTGTTGTTGTTGTTGCTGTTAGTGTTGGCCACTAATCTTCATCACCTCATCTTCATTTTTTAACAAAATGAAATGAATCATAGATATATCTGTGTGTTAAAAAACACCAACATTCATGTTTATGTAATGTACATAATGCACAATTTATTACGTTTGCCGTTATTAATAAATGTTAAATTTGGTGATTAATTTTTATGTATAACAGTTATGACATTTTTTCTACTTTGGACAGTTTATTAAAGTAAGGTATTTACTTTTGAATAAATTATTTATTAAGGTTCCCAACGGAACATAAGGTTTCAGCAGTGCATCTCCACTTTACACTCTTCCCTGCAGTCTTTTTTTAAAGCTAGCTCCACGATTGTACCTTATCTCCCATTTCCTTCTCACACGATCTCTTCCATGTTACCCTAGGGTCTAAAACATAACTCGCTGTTTCTCCTTCAGGTTCTGCTAATTGGTCTGACGCGGGATGTCACCATCTCCACAAAATGTATTTCCAGTACATTTCCATTTTCTACTGCAAATTGTTTGATTGATAGGCTCTTGGTTGGTTCGTTGCCGAAATTTCTCCTTGCTAATCTTTTCTAACCATATGATCTTGAGTGTGGAGCTTAGGGGGCAGTTGTTGATAAAACTCTGCAGGAGCCTTTTCGAAAGGCTCACTATCACTTGGCAAGTCTCAGAACCATCTGGGTGCACTGATTTGACAGTAGTGTTGAAGATCCGAATGTTATTCCTTCTGTTCAGTGCAGCGGATCTCCACATTGATTTTAGCTTAGCGAAGGTTTGCTGGCTCTTCTGATGCTGACATCCGTATTCGTGCCGCCTGTAGTCGAAAATTTGCTGCCAGGTAAAAGAAATGACCTCCTTCAAATTTCTCCCGTTGAAAGTGATTGGTGCTTGGTGTTTTCGTTTGTTAGGTAGCTTCACCACCACTATCTTCCCTATGTTCATTTGAAGTCTTGTATTCGCTACCTTGTCTATTAATTTGTTGGTGTTCACCTGTAGATCGTTTAGTTTATGTGATATTAGACACAAATCGTCCGGGATGTGCGTGTCTTCTGGAGTCTTCTTGCCGCGCTAACGTATATATGTAGGTCAAATGTATGGCCGTCTTTCGCTCGTCACGGCCTACCACATGATCCACTCCACCACAATTGAAAATGTCATTGGTTATAGTAGGTAGCCTTGTCTTACTTCCATCTTCACTTCAGCGGTTTCACTGGGCTTTCTTTTGTGAATCACTTGACGTGTGGTACCATTATATGGCTGTTTAATGAGGTCTATAGAGACTTGTGACAGCGCGCCCCATAGTGTTAAGGCATTTTCTAAATTTCTTCACGGTTGACGTTGTGAAGGCCTTTTCAAAGTCGATAAAGTTAAGGCATAGATTTGAATTCCTTTATATGCTGTACACGATGAGGATGTATAGCATTTCTATTTGGTCTACACATTCTCTGTTTCTAAATTCAGCTTGTTCCAGGCGGATTTTCGCATCCACAGTCTCTCTGAGATACGTGGCTTAATATTCTTTCGGCATGGACAAAAGCATGATTTACCTATAGTACTTGAAGAGACTTAATTCGCCATTCTTTAGATGTCTGCAAAGATAACCCTTCGTTCAATCGGTGGGCACCTTTCTTTTTTTCTAAACTTTCTGTAATGCTGGTATGAGTATACCTGCTGTGGTCTCTGGGTCCGTTTTCAGTGCTTCTGCGGGATTCTGTCTGGTTAGAATGGAAAAAAATGTTGATTGTGACCAATCGAAACTGTCTGTTGTCAATCTGTTGTAAATAGTTTAGGAAACAGTTATTAATTTCTTGGGGATTTTTAATGTCTTAAGGAGTTAATCATTGAAGATTATTGATAATTTAGTTTGAAAATTAATTTTCATTAAAATAGTAAAAGTTTTTTTTCAAAATCTCTTCTCCTTATTCCTTTTAGTATTGTCTCACCCCTTTTCAATTGCTTCACGTTGTGTTTTTGTGAGAGGTTTAATTTTGATTGTCATTTTTGTCCGGCAGTCTAGGTGATTTTTTCCGTTTGTTAGTGGTACGTCGCTGCGTCGGTGGCACAGCGGTTAGGACTCTCGCCGACGATGCACATGATCCGGGGTTCGATCCCTGCCGAAGTACATACGATATCTATGGTCGGCCTGCATAATTTGGGCTACAGATATCCATGCTGAAAATTCCATACTTGTACCGAAAATACGGTGTGGCATCAAGCTGTAATCAAAATAAGAAAAATACATTTCTAACTAATAAGAATTAATCGTTTGTGTGTATTTGAAGCGCATTGAATTTAATGATCACCACTTTAATGCATCTGGAGTATTTTCTATACAATTATTCTTGGTATAAAAGATCGTAAATGTAAAAATAGTCTGCGATACTTATATGCAGCACATATGTGTATGAAAGCTGTCTTATAGTCTGGTATGGGAAATCTAATCTCTGTAACATATCTGATGTCTGGCTTCTACTTGAAACCTCGTTTTTTCTTCCTAATGTGTTTATGAGCTGTTTACTATTGTAGCTCTAAAGCTGTATGAAGTATGCGTAACGACTCTTGATGGGTACTCACATTAAAATATGAATAATAAATAAATACTGGCTTCACGGGAACAGTTTTGCCTCATATCCGTCATTAAATATAAACAAATTACAATCCAGTTAGCTGAGTTGTGTTCAGTTTAAATTTTAATTTGTAGCCTTGTATCACGATCAATATTAATTTTTAGGAATAACTAGACACCCTTACCTACATGCATTTCTATCGGTAAATTATTTCTGTTACTCTTGTCATAACAACTGCTTATACAATTCTATTTGTGCCTTGTAGAGTTTCTTAAAATAACATCAATAATTAGGTTACTTAAGTACATTCCATATTTTAATTATCTATATATTTTCTCTTATATTTATGTTATTTTGAATTTAACTGTATGCAGTCAACTTATTTTGATGTTTGTGTAAATTTATGATTTCAGGTTGCTGGTGTTGTTCTTCACTCTCCATTTATGTCTGGTCTACGTGTTGTCTGTCCTGGAACAACTCGTCGATTCTGTTTTGATCCTTTTACAAAGTAAGCATCTAAATGTGATTATAATTGCATTGCTCTTATCTCTTCTGATAGTTTCCCTACTAATTATATATTTTCGATTTATTTTTGTTGAAGTATCAGTTATTTTTTGGGGGAATTTTTGTAAGTCACATTTTTAAACACATAGAGAGAAGATGAAAATTGGATGCAGAGTTAGTAACCCCAACTCATAAAAACAATATATCTACTGAAAATTCAAGACCTCAAACTGGAAACTCTCTGTTCCACTCTGAAGGGAAAAAGGTGTGCTGTGTACTCAAATGTTGTGTTGGCGTTTACTGACTTCCTCATAACTGATTATCATCAGCTTAAGAAGTACAAATGCGAAATGTCCGAATGGTAAAAGTAGTTTTTGAACCTGTAGTGTGTGGGTTGCTAGCCGAGCGTTTTTCTAGCTGGAGAATTTCATCATGAACTGACATCAGTTAGAGAACCATTGGGGAACCTGGGAGTACTGGACAGCTGTTTTCTCCTAGTTTGCGGCTCCTTATCAGTACGCACCCACTGGAGTTCGAACACAGAACCTTCTGGTTACGAGGCGAGCTCGTAGACCATTAAGCCACTGGAATCCGATCGAATGGCCAGCCCATGAATTCTAACTTCTGTCAATTCACGGCATAGCGCAACCATTTCGCATTGTCTTCTTCGATGAGTAATTGTCCTCACCTTCGACCTGCTGTGAAGAACGAGAAAATTAATTTATATTTATGCATAAATCTGTCACCTAATGGTGACGAATTCGCTTGCCTAACTCTAAGTTTGTTGGTTAAAATACACCGATCAAGTATACATTCTGGTTAATGAAACATTTCATGAAATGATGAGTGTGCTAGTTACATAGATTCAAATTAAAAGAACTTAAGATGAGCGTAGAATATTACTATCTTAACTTCTCTTAAGTTTGGGGGTATATCTCAGTGGTATAGCTTGCGATTACAGAATGAGAGGTCCCTAGTTCAAACCTGGGTGTGCTCCCTTCACTTTGTGCGTTGATGGTTTAATGGTAGAATGCTCGCCAACCTCGCACAGCCTGGGGTTCGATTCCCGGCCAGTACACCCCTAAACCTTAGCCTAGTTTACTGGCTGGTAGCAAGTTCGGATGAAGAGGGGGTTTGCGTGTGAGGCTAGAAACTCCACCCCACCCCCAAAGAAATCAGCTCCACTACTGTGAGTTCAAAGCTCAAGGTCGAAGTCTTTTCTTTCACTTGGAATGCAAAGGGATAAATATTTTATAAAAGCTCTTGAAAGCTGTACAGTTGAAGTATTTTTAAAGAGTATGAAAATGCCAATAAAAGATCGATTAATAATATCACTTTGGTAGCAAATCATCTGGCCATCTCTTCTGTTCACATCGGAGAACTGTGAACTCTGTACACTGAAGCGGTTTTTCCAGTCGCTTTTACTGCGGTGTCCTTAAACCCTTTCTCGACTTGTACAATACTTTGATGTGTAATCCATATTCATTGTTTTTTTATTTTTCCAACTTCTTAACTTTAAAATATTTTACGCATATGAACAGTATTCCTGTTTCCATATGCATAGAGTTTTGATTTTCATCATATCTGTGCGGTGTTCATCACTTTAAGTTTCTCAATTCCCTCATTTTCCCGTCTTATATGTAGTTTTATATGTTTTCTATAGTTTGGTTTTTAAGGGTTAGTTTTGTTTTTACTAGTTGGTCACGGATTGATATCAGTCAGAGAACCATTGAAAACCAGGGACCACTGAACAGCTGTTTCATTCTAGTTTCGGAATCATCGGCAGTTCACACCCACCGACAGGGTTCGAATCCAGGACCTTCCGGTTACAAGGCAAGCTGGCTCGTATACCATTCAGCCACTGGGACCCGATTCATTGGTCAGCCCATGAATTCTAACTTCTGCCAATTCATGATTTAGCGTGACCCCACCCAATGTTATCTGTGGGACATCGATCCTCACACGTGATATTAAGTGGTTATAATTATAATATGTGATTTATAGGAACTGTGATCAAGAATAGTTCCAAAATAATCGGGTACCGAGTGAGAAGTAGCTGTATGCAGAAATTATAATTCTAAAATCTCAGCGAAATGGAAACATCATACTATTATTCCCTTTTATAAATTTGAACAAAGAAAGAAGAAACATTGGCGCAGAATAATCTGGATCCATTTTATTCCGTTGGATCTCATCAACTGCGTACAACCTTTGTTCATTAGCAAGCATACTGTCAGAGCGTCATAGTAAAATAAGGTGTTGTGATTTACAGGGTGCCTAAAGTGTTACGACATATATATATATATATCTTGGTAGAGAGAAGTTTCTTGGAAAAAATTTACTAACTGTTGTGTTGTTGGGGTGGTAACAGGAGAAATTTAGCAACAGTTACGTAGTTAGATAAGAGAAGATCAAAATTTTTACAATTTCGGTGCACGTGAGGTCAGATGCGAAGTTGATGATGTAATACAGTGAGCAGAACTTGGAAGATCAAGAAAAATGATCTCTTAAGAGAGTCAAGCGAAAAATAAAGGGAGGGGGCGGAGTGAAAAGATAAGCTAACAAAATTAGAAAACAAGGAGTTACTAAGAGGTGAGTCACCAGGGTAATTGAAATTGAAATAAGTAATTTCGTCGTTTCATTCGGTAAAATGATCCGAACTTCTTCGTGGAAATTAATCAAAATTAGAATGGCAAAGGCGCATACATGTAATCAAAAAGGACGCATCTTGTCTTGAAAAAAACTTGTCCAATGATATGAGTCATGAACAGACATCAAAGTATGATAAACAGAATTGCATGAACTGGAATCAGAATTTCATCACAGACAAGATGTGTACTTTTTATCTGCATATATATTTATTTTAATTTTGATTAATTTCCCTGAAGAAGGTCGGACCTTTTTGCCGAATGAAGCGTTGGAATTACTTATTTCAATTTAACTGAGGTTTTACAAATGTACTTTTTACATAACAAATAAGTGTGTATAAATAATAACTGACATATATGGGTAATTTCATGGCCTTTTAAGAACACTGATTAACTGTAAAACTTTGAAGAGATGTTAAGAAAACAATATATTGTTTGTTGACCTATTTTCTTTTAAAACAATTAGTTCCTTTTATAAATTTTGATAGCGTTATCAGATAGTCTCCGTCTTTTAATAACGCTATCAATATTTACTTTTAATTTGTGTTATGTAGATGCACTAAAATATCCTGTCATATTTTGGCAAATAATAATCATTAACCCTTGTGTCTTAATGCTCATGTGACAAAGTTTTAAATCTGTTAATGATTTTTAATCTAATCTTTGTTATTATATATTAATGTTCCTGTGGGTTCTGAGTGGTGCATAAGGCGTTAACAGTACATCTTCAATCTGTTCTATTCCCTGCTGTCCTCTTCATCTGGACCCACGGTTGCCCATAATCTTCCATCTCCTCCTTGCATGGTCTCCCTCATGTCATCCTACGACCAACGTGTAACTTGTTGTTTCCGATTCGGATTCCACTCGAGGGCTGGCCTAGCGCGCAATGTCATTCAACGATCTCCTCAGCGTGTACCCAATTCATCTCCACTTTCTTTTACATGTCTGCTAAACGATAGATTCCCGGTTAGTTTATTCCCATAATTTTTCGTTGCTAATTCTTCCTGGCCGGCTAGCCATTTGATCTTCAATATGGAGCCAGTGAAGGTGGCAACTGTTGAAAATGCTCTTCGTGGTATACTGGCCAAGTTACTGACCCGTATGAAACAACTGATTGACTTCACATTTATGTCGAATATCCGAATCTTGTTGTTTATGCTGGCGCTGAGTGGGTGCAAAAGATTTCCAACGTGGTTTCGGATTGATGAAGGTGTGTATCTTATCTTTCCCGCCTATGGTTGAAACAATGCTTCCTAGATAAGTGAAGGAGATGACCTCTGTCAAAGGTACAATCCGTTGATGGTGATTGGTGCTGTTGGTTGTTGTGGTTTCTGTTTGTCGGTCGGTTGGTTGGTTGGTTGGTTACCTTCATCACCTCCGTCTTCTCTATGTTCACCTTGAATCCTGTCCTCACTTTCAGTCTGTTCAGCCAGTTTGTTAGTTTCTGCCTGTAAGTCTTTGAGTTTGTGTGGCATTATTCATGTATCGTCTGCAAAATTCTGATCTTGTATAGTTTTCTTCTCAATGGTTTAGCGTATTTTAGTCTTCTTGCTGTCATGCATGGTTCGACACATAATCCAGTCCATCACAATTTATAATCTCGTCGGTGATAACAGACAGTGTTGTCTTACTCCTGTATTGACTTCGAAGGCCTCGTCGAGTTTTCCTTTTTGGATCACCTGACCTGTGCCAGTGTCACAATAATAATAATAATCTGCCTTATTCTGAAGACAGTACTTATAATCCAGCATGGAATCTCAACATTTGTCACAATACCTGCATCTAATTGACTCAAGATAAATGAAATTAACCACAGGAACATTTCCTTATTTGCAGTAGAAATAATTTCAAAAATGTGCAAATTATAACATGAGAATAGTGACTATAATTATAATAATGGTAATAATAAGAGTAGGTTTGTTTCAAACAGTATTATCAATGTAGTATGGAAATCGTAGCCGGTTATAGAGTATTGATTCTAATCTTCTGTTGATATAGTATGGTGAAGGGAAAAACAAAAAAATAATATTTATTACGGAGCTTAAGTGATGTTTACACTTATGAAAACATAAACAGAAAAAATCAGAGGACTATAAATGTACGTAGAATAACAACAATAAAGCTTGATGGTGTAAAGGTGGAGGAGATTGTTTATTTTGCAATGCGAATAAGGTTAGTTAGTTTGTTCCTGACACCATTTTCCTCACATAAAATATGTGCCAAATATGGTCTCGTAGAGTTTTTATATTTAGACGTGCACGCATAAAGTCTTTTGAAGTGACTTCTTGTTCTACCTGAGGAGATGCAATGTGAAATCTTCGGGTAAAGTGGATGTTCATAGTCTGACAAAATCCTT